AACAACATATTTAGTTTGTATCTATTAAACCTGAACTCACTCTTTCTGACCTTCTCCAAGCAGATTTCTTCCCGGACCCGCTGACAGCACACAGTGTTAACTTGTATTTCCCCAATCCTCTATGACAGTTATGACTGCTGGAGCTATAAACTATCATGTGGTTGCCCTCGTAAAATTATTCCTAATATCTCCTAGCCATATTGGAGGGCCCATGCTGTAACCCCAGTACTCCCCAGCATTAGGGGCAAATTAGGATGTATAGTCTTGGATCATGTTACATAGACACCCATAAACAAACCCCTCACTGCCCACCATGGAGTGGATATTTATCGAATTATAGTTGTGCACATATAAAAACCTCCCTGGCTTGTTATTGTAAGATATGTTGTAAGGGAAGCTGGTGTTAGAATCACTCAAGGGGAGAGGGAAGCGAATAATCGGCCAATGTGCTCACGGCTGTCGCGATCCCTGCAGTGGATGATTATATTTTTATAGCCATCTTGCGAATAAGTGCAACCGCTCATTATTATTGGATTACCGTGCTGGGAGTTGGTAGCAAAATGCCTTGTTAGTTTTATTTCCTGTTGAGAAAGTTGAAAATTGTCCAAACACATAAAAGAAATCTTATTACGATAGGATTGATTTTGAAGCGATCCTGCCAATTTTCGTAAGGGTTTTTCTCTCTCCATTGCCGAACACTGTCAAATGTTTGAATAGTCATGAAATCCCATGAAGGACATCTGTCTACAAAATAATGCCCTGTCTTAATTGTCTAATTATAAAGAAAAGAAATGAGGATGCAGGAAAATCAAGATTCATCAAGCCTGATTTGTATTTTCATCATTAAGTCATCTTGGAGAGAAACTATACCTTAGTAAAATACAATGAAATCTCATTAACTTTAACTGCAGTAACTTGATAAATCACTTAAGAGGATGTTTCCTCATGGTATTGCAGAATGAGTGTTTATTTGGGATTATTTGACCCAGTTAAACAAGAAGTCTGACGAGTCAATATTTCGGATTGGACTCGAAGTGTTTGGATACTGTTAGCTCACCTGGATCGAAGATCCAAGTCTTGGTCTGTTTGTCCGTTGTCTGTCATGCATCATCATTAAACATCTATCGATCTAGAGCTACTGAGCCGAGGAAGCTAAGACATAACATCCCGGCAACCCTCCCGCATCTTCACTTTCTCGCAAAATAGCATTTTTCATTAATTTCAAAATTCTGCTTCATTGTCCTGCAAGTCAAAACAAAGAAAAGGAAATTTACAGTTACAGTAATCTACAAGTAAGTTTTCCGATTAGTGAGTGAATATGGTTTTATGCCGCTTTTAGCAATATTCCAGCAATATCATGGCGGGGACACCAGAAATGAGCTTCACACATTTTAACCACGGCGAGAATTGAACCCGGGTCTTCGGTGTGACGAGCGAACGCTTTAACCACATGGCTAACCGACTGCCCAGATAAGCGACCCTTGTCACAGTCACCCGCTGGGGGGGGGTCTAGAAATCAACTGGTGAATCAATCCATATGGTGAATGATTTAACAATTTAAACTGTAAAGAAAACTGCAGGGTTCAACTTGAAATGAAAATAATCAGCCGAGTGCTTATCACTGAAATGAACTGTTCTCATTCATGTTCATAGCACGTTTATTGCTCCATAATTTAACAACGGAGATATATATGACCGGCCCAGTTATACATGACTTTATTGGTTATCAGATTTATCAGAAACTATGTTAAAACGTAAATAATATACCGTATTTGACGTAATAAGCGCCCCGCTCTAATAAGCGCCCACGGTGATATTTGCTAATATACTGGCTAGTGAACAATCCTAATTGGCACCCCTTCAGATTGATCAATGTACACAAGACTTATTTATTCGTGCATAAAATGTTTGTTAAATGCACCCTTAATTATGGGCAATTAAATTCTGGAAAAATATATCTGTCGTATATAAACATTTCAGGCTGTCAGCATAAATCATGAAATTTACGATCTTTCAACTCTGTTGTATTTCACCAAAAAAATATTCTAATAAGAGCCCCCTCATTCTAATTTTGATAGCGCCCTGGGCGCTTATTACGTCGAATACGGTACCTCAAAGTTTCGCCATTAAGCTCTCAGAAATGATAAGTGCTAGTCTCCAGAAACAACACTATGTGTGATTGGTTAATTTGATTTCGGTAGTCGAATTAGCAATTAATCACATGATCAGGGTTCCTCATAGGGTATGTCTTAAAGTCGAAGAAAAAGTAAATTTTTTGTTAATTTGCCTTTTGGCTGATGGCGTGACTCGTCTCCAAAGAAATATCAACACTGTATCAAATTTTGCAAGAATTATTGTGTGATTATTTCATACAAAATGATTGGCTAATAGTTTGCTAGTGTTCCCGATCTAATTTGCATAATACAGTACTCGTCAACCAATAAGATTGATACACATCAAGGTCAGAAAGGTCAACAACGATGAGGCACATTTCATTCATAAATTGTAGTAAAACGTAAATACGAAATCTATTAAGTGAAGTAGTCAGACTATCAACAGACTACCACAGACGGAACAAAATAAATATTTTAAAGAAGTTAGCGGCGAACATGTTGCATCCAGATAAATGCATTTTATGTTTCTATGACAAATTTTGTGACCAAATTCATGCAAAGTACTTGGAAAACCTACATCAGGGGAACCTTGACAACTGGTCAAGCTACTGGTCATTCGTTTTCAATAGCTGTTTGTGTTTATCAGAGATGATCTTTGAACGTTAGTGATATGGTTAGACTGAACTGGATTTCTTCTTGGTGGAGGAAACTGCAAACGAAAATTAAGCTAGATATGTGCACAAAATCTTATTTTCTTTGTTTTAAAATATATTGTTTTCTTAATAAATTTAAAAAAAATTAAATTGTAAATTATCTTCTTCACTATTTTAAAAATCTCCCCCTTTGGAGGCAAATCACCTCCATTTCAATGTCCAACCTCCCCCATTGCCATGATGAGGGGTTGACAGGTCCGTGACATGTACGTGCCGTAGATATCCATCAAATGATGACACCCATGATTGTCTTCAAAATAGAAGGTTATCTCTATTTGAGATAAAATAAGAAAATTGTAATCATGTAAAATAATTCTGAAGTGATTTCAGAAACATATCCAGAAATCCAATATTATGTGCGAGTCATAATTAATAATTGAGGCCAGAACGAGTTATTTGATCAACTCTTTACCTGATGGATCATGTCGGGCTCGGTTACTTTGTAGATTGCAGGTCATCGTACCCCAATAGCGAGGATCATTGCTCACAATATCAGTCACTGGATTTTCTGGTCCAGACTCAATTATTTACAGACTGCCGTCATGTGGCTCAAATATTGCTGAGTGAGGCTATAAATGACAAACTGTCACCAAATTTGTATTTCAGATTAATATTCCACAAATGGAGGTATGTCATGACAGTGTTTACTGGTGGATGTATCTACTAGTATGATCCACATAGTACAGGCCCATCTGTTGGGATTCCAGGTTAGAATTGGAACTCTGGAAGCTATGCTGGTTGTCTGAGGCGACTTAATGGATCAGGGCCTCTTGCACAAAGCGATCTTAGTGCTACGACTATTGTAAGCCAATGTTAAAGTATGTGAGTTACGATCATCTTAGCGCTAATATCGTTTTGTGCAAGTGGGCCAGACTCGCTGTTCATTTCATGTCATCTTACCCCAAACTAGCATGGATTGTTGCTCACAATATCGATCACTCGATTGTCTGGTCCAAACTTGATTATTTACAAACCACCATCAAGTGGCTCAAATTTGTAAATAAGATTAATGTTACACTAATGAAGAGATAAACCATGGTAGTGTTTATTGGTGGTTGTATGACTTCTATGATCCACATTATACAGGCCAGCAGGAACAGTGTAAAGGTGGGAAATATTAGTGGAACGTCTTGTAATCCCACCACATATGTAATGTCGTCCATGAGACGATGCTGACCTCACCAACTACACACAATGTATACAGAGACTCAAGGGGACACGGGTGGCCCAGTCGTCTAAGGCGCCGCGATTCGCTGTGCAGAGTTGCATCCCTTGGACGTGCTTGTGGGTTTTACTGAAGTGGTAAACGTCTGCGACCTGCATCACTTTAGGCTTTTCTCTCACATTAAGCTGACACGCCACAATATAACTGGAATACTGTTAAAAGCGGTGTTAAATTAAACCCAACTCACTCACTACAGAGACTCAAAGATTAGGATTAGACTTGTAATTCCTTCTTTTTCTGGTGACAGCTTTTGGGATCTTTTTGGAGGCCAGACTAATTTATTATACTGCTTTTAAAGATTTCCCTCGTCAATATGTCAAGAGACAGGCACTAAATGCTGGGATTGGTTTGAGCTTTCTTTACAGAATTACAGGTCCATAAGTGAAATTTTAATTGAGTAAAGATGTTTTGTGAAAACTTTTACACAATATTTAAGTGCTTTTCTTTCAGATTTTCAAAATTTAGGTTTTGCTAATCCTAAACTGAGGGTGTTAATTTGTCTGGCGTAAAGATATATATGTAACATGTTCTTGATTCTTGACCTTAACTTTTACTGTTTTTCTTAGGAATATAGGTGAAAGGTATACAAATTAACAATGAGTTGGCAGAAGGCAGTAATTATTGTGTAACATGAACAGGAAAAAATACTTCTTTGTGCATTTTGAATTTTTAAAAGGATGTCATTAAAAGTATATCAATTAGCCTTAGTCCTTTTCTTCTGTAGGATGGAGGAACAGTAGGCAGTTACTTGTTGTTACCTTGCATGTTGCTTGGCATTAAACGTGTCTGAGTGGGTTGTCCCCCCACACACACACACAGACACACAGATTCTTTCTATTTCAGATAATTGTTTTGAATCAACATGAATGAAACTATGAAACTTGCCAGAACATTGTCCCGATTTTATTAAATTAATATTGTTTTAAGATCTGTGCCTTTATTTTTCAGACTTTGAAAAGTATAAGGAGTGTGGGTCCAGCTTCCAGTGTGAGAATACTTGGTGTATTGATGAGGACCTGGTTTGTGACGAAGTAGACCACTGTGGGGACTACTCCGATGAAGCTGCCGACGGCCGTGCCAAGTGTCAGCAGGAAGGTAGGTTGTCTCCCCTTGACTTACTTAAATCTAACAATGCATGACTGTGTGTAAGTTTCAACAGGATGGTATGTTATGTTACCTTTAATTTTACATTCAACACAAGACATTGCCATATGTAGGTTTGGAAAAGAAAAGAAAGGAAGGTAGGTTTTAAAAAGAAAAGAAAGGAAGGTAGGTTATCTCCCCTTGAAATTTATATCACTTAACCCAAGACATGACTGTGTATAGGTTTGATTTATATTGGAGCAGATCTGTATCTAGTATGACTTAGGTCCTTTGGATTCTGGAGACATATTTGACAGCAGGATTTGCAGCTCTGTTTCCATTTTAGGGGCCGATTATTAAAGGGAGGGGGTCAGGGGAGGGTCATGAAAAAAATGTATAAGGACATGGGGCAGTAAACCAATAATATGAGGGGCGGTCAGGTAGCCTAGTGGTTAACACGTTAGCTCGTCACGCCGAAGACCCGAGGTCGATTCCCGACATGGGTACAGTGTGTGAAGCCCATTTCTGGTTTCCCCCGGCGTGATATTGCTGGAATATTGCTAAAAGCTGTGTAAAACCATACTCAAGAATCTGACTACAATAATATAACAAGCATTAGGGGACTGATATCTTCTCTTCCTCCTCCTCCTTCTCCTCCTTGTGCTGATTGGGCAAGTGTGGGTGTACTTCTTGAATATTTGACATTTTCAGATAAAGGGCCCAAGTCAGAAAAATCCTAGCGTGAACCCTGCAACACGGATGTATATTGATAATAAGAAATTAGATGGGTAGAAAAGGTCGTGGTAGCTTAATTGTTAAATGATCACTTGACTCGAACCTGTTCATAAACTTTCATCAATCATGTATGAAATTTTTTATCTGCCATATTATAGAGTTTCTTGATCAAAGAGAAATGTTTCAAAAGAAACTTTTAGAGACACAAATGTTTCATTGGAGTTTGATCAATTCATCATTGTGGTATTATAGATTATTGTATGGAGTGTGATTCAACAGGACAAAACAAGTGAAGATCCAGGGTAGAATAGGTCTTCAGCAACCTGTGCTTGCTGTAAAAGGCGACTATTCTTGTCATAGGAGGCAACTAACAGGATCGGGTAGTCAGGCTCGCTGACTTGGTTGATGCATGTCATCGATCCCAATTGCGTGGATGATGCTCGTGATATTAATCACTGGATTGTCTGGTCCAGATTCAATTATTTACAGACTGCTGTCATATAGCTGGAATATTGCTGAGTGTGGGGTTAAACAACAAACCAACCAAATCAACAGGAAGAAAATTTGCAAACGTATCCCAAGGAGTTTGACTGATTCAAGGAGAAGGCCATGAATCTGGCTGTACAACCTTGAAAAGGCCTAAGTTTCAGTCTGCCTTGAAAAGCCCCGAAAACTTGGATAAAGTGCTTTGAAAAACCCTCGACTGTAAAACCTATGGTTAACTGCTGTTGATTTATTTGTTGTGTTTTTATTTTTTTGATTATGCATGATAACATCATGTGCAAAAGTCTATATCATTTGATGATGATGCTGTGACAGATTAACTGTAGTAATATGAACGAATCTGGTGTTCTTTGACTTCTGTTGAGTAGTATGTAAAAGCGAAACGGAGATTTGTGGGCTTAAATATGTGGACCATCCAGTTGTTTCATATTTTTATAGTTAATCTGTGACAAGTGATTTCTTTGGGTGTGTAAGCATTAAATACACAAAAACCAGATAATATATATACTGTATTCGACATATTAAGCGCCCCGCTCTAATAAGTGCCCACGGTGATATTTGCTAATATATTGGCTAGTGAACAATCCCAATTAGCACCCCTTCTGATTGATCAATGTACACATGACTTATTTATTCATGTATAATACACACTCATGTGTTATATGCAATCTCTGCAAAATGCTGACCTGTATAGTTATCATGAAGATAACAGAAAAGGATCAGTAAAAACCAACATGAAAAACCCAGGTTTAAGAGAATGCCTGTTGACTTCATGAAGCCCCACTTATATTATCACTTGTAACTCGCAAACGATCACTTGTTTTTTTCCAAACTATGTCCGTATTTTACCTCAAACACATTCTGCTCTAAAATTAGGGAAATCTTTGAGAAAGATTATGTTGTCATTCAGTACTAGTCATCATGTGGTGCAGGTCTTGTCAGGACAAAAGGTCATCCAACATCCCTTCTGGCAGTCTTATGTTGGAGATGTACGAAGTGTGGCCACATTCTGGAAAGTGCGGGAGCCACAGATAATAGTGTGACTCAAAAAAAGAACAATTCTGCAATCTTGAAAATATGTATAAAACATTTCAGACTTCAAACGTATATATTATGTCAGAAACTGCAGAAGGCATGTCTTGTATTAGTGATATCAGTACAGCATCCCTTATGGCTGGGAGATAAGATAAGATTTATTCCATTAACATTGTTTAGGAACAGTTGCTGCATCACATCGATGGAAAGTGAAACAACAGTATAGACATTATTGTCGAGTACAAGACAAGTTGGGTAGTTAAGAACATAATGTTGTGGTATTATTCTTGTTGAGGGTGGCTTGGTTTCAATTTTAAATTGGGCTCAGTTTGTTTGTGGTCCATGACAAGTTGGCCATAGTTTGTGTCTGGTCAATGACAAGTTGGGCACAGTTTGTATCTGGTCCATGACAAGTTGGGCACAGTTTGTATCTGGTCCATGACAAGTTGGGCACAGTTTGTTTGTGGTCCATGACAAGCTGGGCACAGTTTGTATCTGGTCCATGACAAGCTGGGCACAGTTTGTATCTGGTCCATCACAAGTTGGCAATAGTTTGTTTGTGGTCCCTGACAAGCTGGGCACAGTTTGTATCTGGTCCATGACAAGCTGGGCAGAGTTTGTGTCTGGTCCATCACAAGTTGGCAATAGTTTGTTTGTGGTCCATGATAAGTTGGGCACAGTTTGTATCTGGTCCCTGACAAGCTGGGCACAGTTTGTATCTGGTCCATGATAAGCTGGGCACAGTTTGTGTCTGGTCCATCACAAGTTGGCAATAGTTTGTTTGTGGTCCATGATAAGTTGGGCACAGTTTGTGTCTGGTCCCTGACAAGCTGGGCACAGTTTGTATCTGGTCCATGACAAGTTGGCAATAGTTTGTTTGTGGTCCATGATAAGTTGGGCACAGTTTGTGTCTGGTCCATGACAAGCTGGGCACAGTTTGTATCTGGTCCATCACAAGTTGGCCACAGATGTGTCTGGTCCATCACAAGTTGGCAATAGTTTGTTTGTGGTCCATGATGAGTTGGGCACAGTTTGTGTCTGGTCCCTGACAAGCTGGGCACAGTTTGTATCTGGTCCATGACAAGCTGGGCACAGTTTGTGTCTGGTCCATCACAAGTTGGCAATAGTTTGTTTGTGGTCCATGATAAGTTGGGCACAGTTTGTATCTGGTCCATGACAAGCTGGGCACAGTTTGTATCTGGTCCATGACAAGCTGGGCACAGTTTGTGTCTGGTCCATCACAAGTTGGCAATAGTTTGTTTGTGGTCCATGATAAGTTGGGCACAGTTTGTGTCTGGTCCATGACAAGCTGGGCACAGTTTGTATCTGTTCCATCAGAAGGTGGGCACAGTTTGTGTCTGGTCCATCACAAGTTGGAAATAGTTTGTTTGTGATCCATGATAAGTTGGGCACAGTTTGTGTCTGGTCCCTGACAAGTTGGCCATAGTTTGTGTGTGGTCCCCGACAAGTTGGGCACAGTTTGTATCTGGTCCCTGACAAGCTGGGCACAGTTTGTATCTGATCCATCACAAGTTGGCCATAGTTTGTGTCTGGTCAGTTTGTGCTTCATAGTTGGATAAGTTGGGCATAGTTTGTGTCTGGTTCAAGAATAGAAATAGTTTTAGAATTATGCACCATACAATAGAAGGTGACCCAACTGCATCACCCCATGTCATACATTATTTCTTAAGAGCAAAAGAAGCTGCAAGTTCGTTAACGTCATTCATTTATGTTGAAGCAGATCAGTATCTAGTATGACTTAGGTCCTTTGGATTCTGGAGACATATTTGACAGCAGGATTGGCACCTCTGTTTCCGTTTTAGCAGCCCTGTAAGTTGAGACCAGTATCAGAGCAGCATGTCAGTTGAGACAGAACTGAAGCAGCACCTCTGGTCGCTTTCCTCCAAGTGATCTTCATGTCAGCCGGTCTTCGTGGAGGGTGTTCTGCCTCCATCGTGGTCGGGGTGTGAGCCGTTGACACTTGCACATCAAACGTTTGTGTAAAGTTTCAACAGCTTTTTTTTTTAAGTCTTAACTGTTGAAGTTTCTTGAATGAAAATTCTAGTTTTTGCAATACTAGGTTCTCCATCTGCTAAAAATCTCTGTCGCTGGTGAACCCTCTGACAGAGTACATTTGTAGTTATTCATATCTCGCCTTCCAACGTCTGTCACACCAATTATGCAACAAAAACGGAGCTAGATAACATTTCTTTTCTAAACCCTGCCTTCAATTACATCAATTATTGATTTTGTGTGCATCAGGGGTGAAAATTGATGCTGACTTTTTGACATTGTACGACTCACAGAAACACACTCACAGATGAATCTAGTTTTAAGGTCTTTAAAAAGTTGTCATTCTATGGTGAAAATAATCTTGTTTTGAAACAATGTACCTATAAATCATTCTGGGATGTTCAATTAGAGAATTTCTGGCTTCTATTTTCTTGCACTGCACGAACCTTCTCCTGCCTGTTCCTGACTCTCTATCTGGTATGGCAGACATGGTGCATGTTCACCTATCTTGTAATTGCCGTCTAATTACCAACATTCTTTAAACAATACTTCCTGTTGATGCCAGACTCTGACCTCGGCCACCAGGGGGCAGGCCGTTAAGGCGGCCATATTGCCGCCAAGGTAGATCATGGTACTGCCAAATGTAGAACCTTGATAATCAGGCTTGATGAGACCATGTTTGAAGTAAGATTAAAACAGAGCAGCAATCTCATTATGGACCCCTA